TTAGGGGAGGAAGGCTTTTGGAAGATACACTTTAAGAAGTGGGGACCTGAAAAGTAAATGAGTACAAGATGTTTTTCTTATTTCTAAGCCACAGAGTTATTGGAAGACAAGAGAATGAAAGGTTTATTTCAGGGCACCAACTATGAAACTCCTGTCTTTTCTCACTGACCCAGTTAGTAGTAATATTTTCAAGTGGCCAAGTCTACTTTAATGCTTTCTTACATTAAAACAAAACAAAAAACCTGGGCAGAGACTGCAAATAAATCCTATAGTCGGAGAGATCCTGCCGTCCCCGTGATTAACCAGGGCCTTTCACAAAAATAGAAGAAAACATAAATCCTTTGGACATGTTGCTGCTTAGGATGACCTCAGTTCCTGAACTGTTAAAATGTGATAACTCTGAGGACACCATGGGAATCCATTTGCATTGGCTGTTTGTGACTTTCCTTCTAAAGTCAAGGCATGATTCTTCAGAAAATAGTTAGATGCTGGAAACTGACCCTTTTTATTAGGTTCACCTTCTTAGTCCCAGAGATACCATAGTGTTTGTCCATAGCATCAACTTCTCAAAGAGGAAGGGCCTGAAAGGAGAGGCAAGAGCCCTTAAACCTCTTTGGAGCTATTAATCCCGGCCCCTGCTGGCCTCTCGCCTTTTGCATCAGAAAAGCTTTCTCGTATTTTATTTTAAAGGGGGCCAAAAACAGCTGTGTGAGATTTGAGAATGGGATTTTAATGGTCACTGAAGGCACACAAAGGCTGGGGCTGCAGAGATGAAGTGTACCAAGGCAATTGACTCCTTTGTTCGGTGGGCTCACAACAGTCAGGCTGCTGATGGAGAGAAGAAAATCAACTGGAATTTCTGAGCGAGTTCTATTTGGGCTGGATCTTCAACACATTTGGAAACAGTTATCTTCAAGCTGTTCTTGACATGGAGACCTTGTTGAGAGAACCAAATCTTAGCTTGCCTCTCATGTTGTTTGTGAAGTAAACAAAAGGAATGTGACATAAGCTATTTCTATAGAAGGTGCTCTTTTAAGAAAAATGGTTATTCCTTGACTGTTTATATGAAATAGGGCTTTCACAGGGAATAAAAAAGGATTTACTCCCTCCTTATCCCACCTCTTTAGGCCAATGGTGCCTTTCGTAGCCCCCCGGTCCTTTAAGAAGCAATACCAGACCTAGGATGTTGTAAGAGATTCTCTCACCTCTCCAAAATGGAACTCTTTAAAAGGCTTCCAGTGCCTTAAATGACTCCAAAGAATGAATTTACACACGCAAACACGTGTAATTAACTTTGAGGCAAGCCAATAGGTTCATCATCGATACAGCTGTAAGATCTGTTCTCTGCCAACTGTACTATGATAAAAGTAAACCACATTGATCAGTTTCTCTAAAAGTTGCCATTGGCATAGTTCTTGAAATCATTCTGATGTCATCCATGTGAATACTCTCTTACATTAATAATCTTATAAATTGTTATGTGCCCAAAGTAGGTAACTTACTCTTTCTGCTTGTAACCTGAGTTAGTTTGGTAAGAGAGACAATGTCAGGATACTGAAGGTTAAGAGTCAGTGACTGAGAAGGGAAGAGTTCTCTCTGCGATCAGCTGACAAAGGGAGGTGTCTAATAACGGTTCCTTGAGTTAGGGGGGATTTAAAGGTGTCATTGGAGAAAAAAGACTGCTAATACACTAATGGTTTGGTAGAGTCAGAGACTAACGACTGATTATTTGTGTTCAAAAGAGTGTAATGTTTAGTGCGGAGAGGGCATTTGATCAGAGTTGGAGGAGGAAGAAAAGGACTAGGTCCTATAGGTAGCTGTGATGCCTATAGCTTTGGTCTTGGCTCTCTGCCCCTTTTATAATTGTGGTCTGTAGAGGTGTTCATTATTCATGTTGATGTGAGTCATGTTTTTGTTCATTCGTTTTTCAGTCGTATCTGACTCTTCATGGCCCCTTTTGTGGTTTTCTTGGCAGAGATACTGGAGTGGTTTGCCATTTCCTTCTCCAGCTCATTTTACAGATGAGGAAACTGAGGCAAACAGGGTTAAATGACTTGCCCAGGGTCATACAGCTAGTAAGCATCTGAGGCCAGATTTGAACTCAGGAAGAGGAGTCTTCCTGACTCAGGCCAGCACTCTTGTATGACACATTATTCCACAAGCATATAAAGAGTCAGGAGGAAAGTGGGCTCAAGCTTAGAGAGCACATGTGGCAAAGGGGTAACTCACAGCTTTTTACTGTTGTGGTCCTTTTTTCTTAAACCTGGGGCACTCAATAAGTTTCCCTTAAGTGTGGCATAGTTTCTTTGCTGAACTCCTTATGGAGCCATGAATCTGTGTCCAATCTGTCCTTGGCTCCCAATTCAGACACAGTCATCAGCTGACCCATGCTACCACTAGGATGCTGATGGGAAGAGAGGAAGTTCAATATTCCCTGAATCTTGAAAAGCTCAAAAGGCCATCCAGCCAAATTGGGAGTAGGGTGAGGAGGCCAAGTCCAGTTGGTTTCCTTTTCCCCATCCCCGAGTTATTCCTTCTCATGGGTTTGCCAGAACATATGCTCTCCTGGCTTTCCAGTCACTGGAACTCCCCAATTCCAACTAACTCAGTGCTTTTACGCAGGATCCTGAGGCCATGATACAATCCCTTGGGTTACAAAACTTAACTTGTGGCATCATTTCACTTAATCTGATGACTTTCAAAGGCTTTTCATAGTTAATCTAAGGTCCTCGAATGATTGAGACATGTTCTCACCTAGTTAAGGTGTCTGGGCTAAGAGAATGTTCTCACCTGATAAATGTGTAGCAGAACTAAAATTTGGGTGAGTAGTTTTGACGCCTATCCTTTCAGTAGTGTGGCTACTAAGCCCATGTTCGGTATAAGCCAAATAAGAAGCAAGTGATGAGTGGATGAAGTCACATGTACCCTAACGTTTGCTTATAACATACGCTGTCTATGTTAGGAGGCCTTAACCTTTTTTATGTCATGGGTCTCTTTGGCAGTCCGGATCCCTTCTCGGAATAATACATAACACTTTTTAAATAAGTTTAAAACAAGTTTAAAACATATAACATCAAATATATAGAATCACAGAGGAAACTGATTATATTACATACAATTATAAAAAAATTTTTTTAACCAAGTTCATAGACCCCAGGTTAAGAACCTTTGCTAGTTGGTGATGTCCTTCAGGTGTTCCTGTTTGTGGATGACATTGGGTTGAGTCTCTCAAGGTCTAGAATAATACGGAGTCTCCTAATTTAGTTTTACAACCATTCAAGAGAGTTCAGCCTAACAATTCATGAAGATTCAAGCAGATTCGTCCTTAGGAACGCTTATTGCCCAGACTATATTATATTAGCCCAATGACCTGATCCTTCCATACATACTTCTTAAACACACATTGCTAATAGCTAGCATTTATATAGAACTTTAAGGTTTGCAAAACACCATTAGGTCCTCGCAGCAACCCTATGAGGTAGGTGCTATTAACACCCCCATTTTATAGATGAGAAAACTGAGGAGTTAAGTGACTTGTCCAACCAAGGTCATCTGAGTCAGGGTTCAAACTTGGGAGTTTCTGATTTCAAGGCCAGCACTCTATCCCCCTGTCCCAGCTGACCTCAGTGCTTCCATAGATAATGAGCTGGGCCAGAATAGATAGGAAGGAGATAGGAAGCCCAAATTCATTTTGGAGATTTATAGCATTTTCAAGAATCCCAGGCTGTTCTTTGAAATAATAAACTTCTCTTTTAAACACCAGTATTATTCTAGTAATGCTGTATGGCCGGCCATCAAGCCTGAAATATCACAATATATAAACAATCAAAACTGTGGGTCACCCAAATGGTAATGAAGCAATACATGGTGAATTTAAATAGGCTGCACTATCTTTCCTAAACAATGACTTGTTGTAGAGGAGCTGGAACTTTGATCACATTCTTATCCCTAGCATACTACACTAGAGACTTAGATAAATCCCCTTGGATAAGATTTGAGACTCTCTCTCTCTCTCATTTCACTCCCAAGTGGAGAACTCATTCACTCTGTATTTGCTGGATTATCATCCAGGAGCTATGTTATCTAAAAAGAAAGGATGTGCTGAGACTGAAGAGTAACATATAATGATAGTAATAATCATAGCTAGCATTTACATAGCCCTTTACGCTTTGTAAAGTACTTTATATATGTTAACTCATTTGATCCTCACAAAAGCCCTGTGAAGTAGGTATTCCTGTTGTCATTTTATAGATGAGGAAACTGAGGCAAACAGAGGTTAAGTGACTTGCCCAAGGTCACCCAGCTAGGAAGTGTATAAATCAGGATATGAACTCAGGTCTTTCTGATTCAGTGTCAACACTATCTACCAAGCCACCAGCTGCCTCTTTGTGGACATCTAGGTGCTTTCCTGGTACCCATTCAGTGTTACAAGGGCAGCAAGGTAGTGCAATGACTAGAGCACCAGGCCTTGAGTCAGGAAGACCTGAGTTCAAATCCGGCCTCAGACACAACACTTACTAGCGGTGTGACCCTGGGCAAGTCACTTTACCCTATTTGCCTCAGTTTCTTCATCTGTAAAATGAGCTGGAGAAGGAAATGGCAAACCCCTCTGGTATCTCTGCCAAGAAAACCTCAAATGAGGTCACGGACTCATGACTGAAATGACTGAACAACAGCAAATACAGTTCTAGCCCTGACTGTGGAGTTCACTGCCTAATGTTAAATGTGGCACTTTTGAAAGACTTGTCCTTGGGGAGCTGGTCTTTTCATCTTTACAACATCCCTGCCAAGATGGGAACATAACTCACCCAAGGTTAAATAGTAAGCGATTGATGGAGTCAGGAACACAGAGCTGAGATTAATTTTGTAAGTTAGAGCTTCCGTTTTGTTTCTTTTAGTGCTGTGTCTATTTACCACCAGCATTATCTATTCATTTTTTAGATTTTTATAGATTGTGCCTGGGCTCTCTGCTGACCAGATCATTTTTTCCCACTTTTTAGTCCCTTGCAGCATTGGAACATATGACGGAGGACAAGGGCAATGCATTTTATGTCCAAATGGGACGTACCAAGATGAGGAAGGTCAAATAACGTGTGAACCCTGCCCAACCACAGAGGACGCGGGGAACCAGAAGACCACGGGAGCTCGCAATGTGTCTGAATGCGGAGGTAAGGAAACTCAGGCTGTTCACTTTCACCCTTTGTCTTTAAAACAAGTGAAGATTTTTATGTTATCCTCATTTAGATATAAGCTGTGATCCCCGCATTATATACACCAAATAAATATTTCTTTGAATTAAACTCAATTGAATGCTTTGGCAGAAGGAAAGTAATAATGTTGCTATTACACTGTTTATTTGTTGTAAATATATAATAGCCTAAGGTTTGAGAGTTTGAGCAGTGTACATTCTTGTTCAATAATTAAGAAAGGAGTCAGATTTCCTTGTGTTTGAAACACAGACTTAACTTATTTATTTAGAAAAACTTGTCAAAACTCCAAAGAACATAAAATTCTATTTATGTCTCTCAATTCTTTTCTAATTTTAGTATCCATACATATGACTTTACACACTGTAATTATTGTGTACAGACTGTTTTGTGTGTTGGTTTTTTCATATACACATCTCCAGGTATTGAAATGAAACATATGCTTGTCATTTTTAATTGCTGTATAATATTCCACTGTGTTAATTATGCTATTATTTGCTGAACCATCACCATATTGTGAGGTATTTAGGTTAGTGTCATTTTTAAAAGAAATTCTAAATCTGGTTTTATTTAAAAAAAAAAACCTGTGATATCTGAATTTCAAATTGTGTCTCAGAAAAATTTGATTCTGAAACCTAGCTAGATAAGGTTTTTATAGGGTATATCCATTTTTATTTGTTTTGCTCTAATTTTTATTTGAGAAGAAAATGAGGTACAGGAAGAAGGAAATACTATAATCTTGTTAGAGAAAATGTAAAAGCTGTTGACTCAAAAATTTTTGCATGAGATTTGTTACATTTTAATATCAAAATGCATAGAAATCTCTTTGGCCCCTGCTTCTTTCCTTTTCATGTCTAATACCCTGCTTTGTCAGATTGCCATGGCCTACCCTAGAATAACTAATTGAAACTGTTAAAAAAATTCCCGGAATCTCGTAGTTGGAAGTAACCTTGGTAGTTATGGAGTCCAGCTCACACCTGGACTGGAATCTCTCCTGCAAGTGGCCATCCAGCCTTTGTTTGAAGGTCTCCAGGATGGAGAACCCCCATGAGGCAGCCCATTCCCTTTTTTTCATATCAAGACTACATTTGCTTTTTTGGCAAGTTCACTCCTTGTTTCTAGTTTTGCCCTCTGAGGCTAAACAGAAAATTAGGAATTAGAATTAAAAAAGTCTAATTCCCCTTTCCAAATGATAGCCTAAACACTTGAAGACTACCATGACCCCCTGAAGGTTTCTCTTCTCCAGGACAGACATCCTCAGTTCATTCTCACAGTCCTTTATGTGGTTGTCTGTAGTCTCCTCACCATCCTGGTCATCCTCCTGTGAATACACTCCAATGGTGTCTTATAAAATGTGCCTCCCAGAACTGAACATAATATTCCATATATGGTCTAAACCCATTAGGACCTTACATCTGTCTCTGATAAAATACAGCTTATTAGATTCATCCGTGGTTCTAACCTGTTAAGATCTTCCTTGAATCCTGACTGTCATTTGGCATGTTAATTATTCCTCCCAGCTTTGTATCAAAGGCACATTTGTTAAGCATGTCGTCTCTGCTTTCATGCAATGCTTCGTTGTACCTGCAATTTCATCAATGTAGAAACTTCATCCAGTGACACACATCTCAATTTATTCATGTCTTCTTGTCCTCTATGATACCTGTAAATCATCCATGTGCGATCCATTTAAAATGCCAGAGACTTTCTTCTTTTGGGTCTTCTAACATTCCATTGAAACACTCAGGCTGTCCATCTGTTATCTCTCCCTATCACTCTATGACTGACCCATCTCCTTTTCCAGTTGTACATTTCTGTGTTGATATCCTTTACATAATTTCTTTGTACAAGTCATCTTTTGCAGTACTCTTCATCTAATTTACATTCATTCTATTCCCCTTTGGAGCACCTGCTAAACAACAGTTATTTCTTTTTGCTTTTATCAAGGAACTGTATTTGATTTTAACAAGTGAGAAACACCTTGTTGGGGAATCTTTAAAAGGCTACACTTTGTTCTCCTGAGTTAGTTTTTTAAGAAAAATCAAAAAGAGTAAGTACAGTGGGGTCTAATATTTGTTATAACCTTTTAGTTAATTATATGATTATGAAGATAGGGTCTACTATGATTTTTTTTACATTGAACTTCTGTTAATATCAATCAATTAATCAACACGTTTGCTATAATTATTCAGTAGCTGTACAACTAAACTTTACTGTCATTCAGCTCCTATTTATCTACTTATTCAAAGGATATTTTAAGAAGTCTTGTTAAATGCTTTCCTGAAATCTAGATATACTATATACATGGTATTTCCCTGATCCATCAGTCCTGTAACCTTGTCAAAAAAGGAAATGAGGGTAATTTGGTGTGACTTATTTTTAATGGACCCATGCTGGTTCATGGTAATTAATGCTTTCTAAGTACTTACAAGTTCTCTAATCATTTGTTGAAGAATTTTACTAGGAAATCAACATCAAGGTCGTTGGACCATAGTTTGTAGAGGGTACTTTTTTACCCCTTTTTGAAAAGTATGCTAGTAGTTATGTGGTGCAATGGATAGACACTGGGCCTGGAGTAGGAAGATCTGAGTTCAAATCCAGCCTCAGACACTTACTAGCTCTATGACCCTGGGCAAGTCATTTTGTTTGCCCCAGTTTCCTCAACTGGAACTTGAATGAAGATAATAATAGCACCTACCTCCTCGGGTTGTTGTGAGGATCAAATGAGATATTTGTAAAGCTCTTCTCAGAGTGGCTGGCACACAGTAGCTACTATATAAATATGAGTTGGTATTATAATTATTGTTATTATTATGATCTCCAGTCTTCTAGTACGTGACTACTCTAAGACTACCAACATTGATTCAGCAGTCACATCTACAAGTTCTTTTAGTACTCAGGCATATCATTCATCCAGGCCAGGAGATTTGAAATACTTTAGATCAGTTAAGTTTTCCTAGTCTTCTCACCTACTGTGGTCTTCAATTCCTTCTTAACCCTACTGTTAACCTTGCCCATTCCAACACCAATACTAGTAATAATAACAATAATAATAGATCCCTCATGTTGTGGAGAATGGGGGCAGAGTGGGGAAGGGAAGGGAGAATGGCAAAGTAAGGGAATGCCAGTGAGGGTAATGTATGGTGTACCTTTTGGTTGTAAAAACATGGCAGGAACCTTGTAGCTAGCCATTTGGGCTCTAAAGGTAGCACTGATTAAGTTAGTACCTCACTTCCTATGACTATAAAATGGGCCAGCATAGATGCAGCTAGTCTTACTCGATCAGCTTGATGCAGAGGACAATAGGGCAAGCGGCACGCCTCCGTGTCATGGGACCACAAGAATGCAAGCTATATTGGAGCAAATCAGAAATACCAAGATGACACTTTCCAGAATGCTTCGGTGCATGGGAGCGATGAACATGAAAAAAGCATGAAATGGCTTGAAGAAATTAATGTTTTTATTATATGCCAGTACCTCATCATAAAACTGAAAACAGATCTTAGCAATTCTAGGCAAGGGCTTCATGCTGCTTTTTGTCAATAATACCCTGAGCTCCAAATTGCACAGCAGTGTGTTATGGAGCACTGTAGGGAAATTATAAGAAATAACTTCATTCCTAAATCCAGAGTAGACGAAATAAGAGTAGAATTGAGGAGTTAATTAGATCTGCAAAGGAAAAAACTGAGGCACTTGAAGGCAATAAAACTACACTTAAACTACAGAAGTACTACAGGTGATAAAAAATATTTCCAGTATCTTGCATTATTTTGAAGAGGAAATTGGCATATTTAGAATAGAATTTTGAAAAACCCTTTTTGAGTTTGGTAACATAAATCCAACTGAGATCAACTATACTGACCAGAAGAATTTTTAAAAATTAGATATACTAGATAGCTAGCATTTATGTCGTGCTTTCTGGTTTGCCTCACCACAAACCTGTGAAACGTGTGCTGTCATACACGTCGTTCTTTTGGCACTTAACTTTTTAGGACCGTAGATTAGAGCTTTGAGGGACCTCTACATCTGTGATTCTCCGATCCTGTTTCCTTGGTGGGTGTCCAATAGGAGTCTCAACATGTCCAAAACAAACTCCTTATCTTTCTCTCCGAATCTACCTTTCCCTTCTGAACTTCCCTGGTTCTGTCAAGGGTACCGCCATCTTTCCAGTCACCTACGTTTGCAACTTTGTGGTCATCTTTGACTTACTCTCCCTCATCCCACGTATCCAGGCAGTTGCCAAGTCTGTTGATTCTACATCCACAACGTCTCTTACATCCATCTCCCAGAGCCACCACTTATGTTCAGGCTTTCATCACCTTTCACCTGGATTCTAATAGCCTCTCTTGGGTTGGGCTTGGCTCAGTCTGGCAGCCTGTTAATTCAGGTTTGATGTTGATACTAAATGGGACATTCACAAGTCATCGAACAAACAGAACAAGCGAAAGGTGTTTTACTTTCCCTAATGGAGAGAAAAGCTATGCAACAAGGATAGAAGAACACTTAGCTCTGGGTAGATGGGGCCCGCATGGAAACAGGACTGGTCAGAAGGGTAGTGTGTCTGAAGGATGCAGACCCCACTTGTGTGGGCTTTTTTTATGCTCTTAGGTGACTAGCAAATTACTATAGCCAGAGGCGACAGGAAGCTTGAGAGGCACGGTTTGAGCCTTGTTCCATGCTGGGGGGCAGGAGGGGAGGGCAGCCCTGCTAGACATCTCCTAACATAATCTCCTAGTTATCTCCCTGCTTCAGTCTCTCCATCCTCCACCCCTGCGCCAAAATGATATTCTTAAGGCATAGGCCTGACCGTATCATGCCCCTGATCAAGAGTATCCAGTGGTCCTTGTTATCTCTAGAATCAGGTACAAACTCCTCTCTCGTGCTCTCCAAGACCGTTACAGCCTGCCTTCGGCCCACCTTTGCAGACCTATCACTACACATTATTCCCTTGCACACCTTCTAGGGTCTAGACAAACTGACTCACTTGTTGCTCTTCATACATGACATTTCCTCCCCCATCTCCATGCTTTTGCACAGGCTCTCCTCCAAACCTCTCTAAATACGACGTGGAAGCTTATGAGGCCTCTGGTAGTGTCTGGGTTGCTCTCATGGTGTTGCTAGGCCAACTGCAGATGCTTTCTTGGAGCTCTCTCTCCTGGCGCACTGCTTATCACCTTCCCTCTCAGTGGTTAGCTTTCCTTTGAAAGACTTTGGAGAAGCCTTTCAAAAAAATAGCCTCTACATGCTCAGACCAAAAGAGGCTCTTTGCCCTCGGCCAAGGGACTGATTCTGGCTCAAGATTTCCTTGGTTCAAATAAAAAAAGGCTCAGATTTGGGTGTTTGGATAGCTTTTGCTAGGCTAACAACAATCCGATTGATTGAGGTATTGAACGTACTCTGCAATGCATCTAAATTGGATAAATTTCGGGTCCAACAAACATGTTCTGTGCTTTCTTGACTCTGCTTTCGTTTATACCTTTCTCCACGTCTTAAATGCTCTTCCCTTCATCTCTGCTTTTTTGACATCCTGCCCATCCTTCCAGGCCCAGCTCAGATCTCCAGCATTACCAAAGCCTTCCTTGATGGCCTGTAACTAACGGATCTCTCCTTCCTTACTTTTGATAGCACTCTACAGCCACATGCTAACTATAGTCCAGCCTCTATGTCTATGCTCATTCCTCATCTCCACTTGCTACATCCTAAGTTTCTAGAGGAGGTAGCCCCCATTTATTTGTGTATTTCCTCTGTGCTGTAGTCAGCACACTACATTGTAATTAACATGTTTGGTCCTTAATAAAAGTTTGTTAAATGGAATCTTCTTGAAGGCCAAGCATAAGAAAATCTTATGCAAATGATTTCACAGGACCAAAGAGTTAGGGCTGGAGGGAGCCTGAGAAGCCATTAAGCCCAACACTCTCATTTAATAGATGAAGCAGGTGAAGCCAAGAGAGGTTCAGTTACCTGCCCAGGGGCCACATGGTAAATATCTGAGGCAGGATTTGAACTCAGATTTTCCTGACTCCAAATTCAGCACTCCATGTCCACTGCATCATTTCCTTTGTGCTAATCTCAGTGTAGTACAGACAGTATGACACTGGGAGATGGTTTCCAAATGCTTGTGAATGTGTGATAGTGGTTAAGAGTTAACCTCACTCACTTGTCATCTGTAGGAGATGGTTACCCCCTCAGCCTGCTACGTGATTTATTTAACATATTCATTCTCATCATCCAGAGTTCTAGGATAGGGGCAGCTGGGTGGCACAGTGAATAGAGCTCTGGCCTTGGAGTCAGAGGACCTGAGTTCAAATCCAGCCTCAGACACTTAACACATACTAGCTGTGTGACCCTGGGCAAATCACTTAACCCTGATTGCCTCACCAAAAAGCAAAAACAAAACAAAACAAATTAAAAAAAAAAAACAGTTGTAGGATAATCTGGGGGTATGTTTGATTTTTCCTAGTTAATTATTAAAATTGTAATATCTCTCAGTAATTAATCAGTTGATTCAGAGCCCTGATCACTGTTTAGTATTATTATTTAAATAAAAATGTTTTATTTAATAAATTGGAGAAACCTCTTTTCAATAAGCAGTTGCTCATATCTCTATATACCAAAACTCCTAATCTCTGAGGCTTAAACATTAAAGTTATTGGCTATACAGTTTATTAACATGGTAACCAATAATAACACAAAGACATCAATTATTGTTTACAGTGTTTAAGTGGTGAGAAAAATCACAACCAAAGTCATCCTTGACCATGTCTACCACTATTGACTTCTCACTTGTATAACACAGTCCCACCATGCAGTTACCTTGAGATATACAGAAAGTTTCTTAAGAATTCCCTTCATCTGGGGCAGCTAAGTGGTGCAGTGGATAGAGCTCTGGACATGGAGTCAGGAGGACCTGAGTTCAAATCCAGCCTCAGACACTTGACACTTACTAGCTGTGTGACCCTGAGCAAGTCACTTAACCCCATTGCCTAGCCAAAAAAAAAAAAAAAAAAAGAATTCCCTTCATCCTCTTTGAAAGGTAAAGACTCAAACAGTTCTTTAAAGAAAATAGTCTTCTCCATCCTCTCCTGTCCTTACCCAATCTGTCTTCAACCATGACAGTCAAGGCAACAATGGATACTAGTTTCTCCCAGACTCCTCGTAGAATGTCGGCTAATTACTGATCCTTCAGCATTCTAAAGCCTCTTAGAAACACATTACAGCATCTATGGATACTGTAACCCTAGTGGAACAGATGGTGTGAGTTGTTTAATGCCTTCACCTGCAGGACGATAAATACATGCTTTCCTAGGTTAGGTTGGGTTTACCTGGTATGTCTTGGTCTCTTTCAGGTCAATGCCTTCCTGGTGAATATTCTTCAGATGGCTTCTCCCCATGCCAGCCCTGCCCCCTGGGAACATACCAGCCTGAAGGCGGCCGGACTTCCTGCTTTCCTTGTGCAGGGAGTTGGAGGGGAGAACTCACTACCAAACATCCTGGTGCTACCACTTTCCAGGACTGTGAGGCAAAAGGTAAAGTCGGAGAGAAGTACCTAGCTTCTGGTAGTGTTATGAAAGACAATGTCTGTTAAGATGTTGTCGCTGTTACCACCAGCAAAAATAAATTAAACACTCATAGTCTGTGTTTGTATAGCCCTGGGACACGTAAGCCAGAGCTATCCCGTCTAGGTTAGGCGTGGTAATGACCTTCAAGATGCTTCTAATGTTACAGTGATGACTAGGTAGATGACCCCAAGTAGGACAGAAATATATGTTTATTTATTTAATAGCATGTTAATGATAATAATAATAATAATAATTCAGACTCATGTAACATTTTATTGTAAGAATACTTTATATATATTTTCTTATTTTATCTTGATAATAGCCTTTTTTGGCTGCACAAATACAGTGCATCCACTTCCCAGATGAAGAAACTGAGGCTCTGGGAAGTTAAAGAACTTGCCCAAGATCACATACATAGAAAGCCCAGACTCAAACCAGGTCTTTTGATTCCCACGGCCATTGTTTTTGCCGCTTCAAATGAGGAAAAATCAATAATATGTTAAAATAGATAACATTTGCACTCTGTTCTTCATAGGGTAATTCAACAAATTCAAATTCAACGGATATTTTTAAGCACCCACTAGGTTACATATTCAGAAGGCAAAATGAGTCTTTTCTCTCAAAGACATCACAGTCTATTGGGAGAGAATAAAACATGTATACAAACATTATGTCACTAGGCAGAGTAAAATAACTGCAAAGGAGAGGACCAGGAAAATGCCATGAGAACTTTGAAGTGGCTGTAGGGAAAAAGCACTTTATGAATAGTCAAGTACTAGATAAATATGAACTCTTGTTATTGTTGTTACCTAATGTGTCGGGATCTCTCTGGGTCAATCTGACTTAGCATATTCACCATCCTGTGTTAAAACTACTCTCCCCTACTGTTCTGTGCTAGTATCTAAGTCCTGCCCTCCGCCTCATTACAGCCATAACTAGCAATTCTGTCACCTAGGGCAAGCATAGTTGAGGGCAGACTGAGGAATACAATTGTCCCTCCCCTCCCTTGGAGAGAGAATTGAAACTTCCCCTTCAGGGGGAAAACAAACCCTGGAACCCTAGCCTCAGGCAGGAGGAGACCTTAATGGATATCACAAGGCCACTTAGGACAGCTGACTTTAGGCAACCAAGTGTGGCAGGGCCAGGCTGGGACAAGCTTAGCTGCAGTGGAGAGGGAGTCTGAGTGCTGCTAACATCCTTTATGTTTTAGCAGCATGTGGAAAGGCCCTGACTACCCCTCCCTAGTTACAGCTCTACTTGTCATCTATGCTATGCTGGGCTAAATTTTATTTTCACAGAAACGACCTTGTTTAAAATTCCATCGTAGAAATCCCACTGAAGTGTGTACCTTTAAGAGCTCCAAAGGGATGCGCCCACTCCTTGCACCACAGCACCCTCTAGATGCAAACACCCAGAGCACTCAGCTGCTGGACTTTCTGGCATTTCTTCCATCCTCTTGTCTTCATCTGAGCAGAAAGAATCCTTTTTCAAGTTCTAAAATCATGGTTTTCCTTTGACCCAGCCCCTGAGTTCTCTGTTCTTGTCTGCTCATCTTTGCTGGCCCAGGCTACTGCTTGGACAGTCTTCCATACTTACCCATGAAACACTGAGCTTTGGAGGGGAATGGCTGATCAGCACACTGGCCTGTTCTATCCCCACGTTGTTTTTTCACATTTCACAAAATTTAGAGTTGGAAGGCACCCCAGTGTCCATCATTCCAAACATGCTCCAAAGGAATCACCATTACAATGTATCCAGCAAGTGCTCATTCTGCCTCAGCTTGAAGACAGGACCCTATTGCTTCTCGAGGCAGATTTTCCACTTTTGGACAGCCAATTCTTTTTTATTAAATAATATTTTATTTTTTCCCAATTACATGTAAAGACAATTTTTTGTTTTCTGTTTTTTTGTTTTTTGTTGTTTTTTGTTTTTTTTTTTGGCTAGGCAGTGGGGTTGAGTGACTTGCCCAGGGTCACACAACTAGTGTTATGTGTCTGAGGTCGCATTTGAATTCAGGTCCTCCTGAATCCAGGGCCGGTGCTCTATCCACTGCGCCACCTAGCTGCCACTAAAGATAATTTTTAACATTCATTTTTTAAAAAATTCTCTCCTTCCCCCTCTCCCTGAGAAGGTATGGTAGGAAATAGTATCAAATACTTTGCTAAAGTTTAGGCAAACTATACTTAAGGCATTCTTCTGATCATCTAGTTTAGGAACCGTGTCAAAAAAGGAACGAGGATAAATTTGACATGACTCGTTCTCGATGAAACCGTGCTGCCTCTTTGTAATTGCTTAAGACTTTCTTTGCCAGATATTCCCTAGCCATCTCTTTAATGATATATTCTAAAATTTTCTCAAGAATCAAAGTCAAGCTGACTGGCCCATATTGAGGTATCATTTGCCGTTTTTCAGTCCTGTGATACCTTTCCCATTTTCTATAATCTTTTCAAAGGTCACTGATAATGGCTCAAAAATCACATCAACCTGTTTTTTTTCTGGACCTGGCTTAGGTGACTTGAATTCATCCATGGCCATTGGAAACTTTCTTAACATTATTTCCTTCTTATATTGGGCATCAGCTTTCTTTTAGCCATTTTTGTTCTGTCATTTCCAGTGCAAAGACCGTTTTCCTTAGCAGAGAAAACAGAAGCACCACATTATCCCACCAGCTCTGCTCTCTCTACTGCCAGTTGTTATTTTCCCATTCACTCCATGGGAGTCCTTATTCTTCCTTTGATTCTCCTGCTTCTCCCAATATTCTTTAAAACAGCAACAACAACAACAGCAAACCTGATAATTCTGTTGATTGTCCTCAGTTTCCCTCACCAGACTTAACTTATTCTGAGCTTTAGCAAGCCGGAAGCTATTTTTACATTCTTAAATTTATCATCTCTTGCTTTCTTTTATGCATGTTTTAAAAATCCAAGTTGGCTGGTAAATTCTTCATGCATAGACATACAGTCTCCCTCACCATTGGCAAGCTTCCTTTCATGATGACCAATTGATATAAATTAGTCAAACAGACTTAATTAGTTTGTAGTAAGAGGTATTTTACTAGAGTAGTGTAGTTCTGAAGTCCTCCAAAATTCATGAGATCCTCTGACCAAGCCAGGGGGCAGAGAAGGAGACCAAGGTTGTGGTGTTGGTACTTCTCTTTCTCTCCTCCCCCAGATGATTCCTTCACAATAGCTTGGCTGTATCTCCTCTCCACTATCAAACACTCAGATTTCTTGGCTTTAAACTGGCTTACTGTTTTATAGAGGATTCACAGATTATGACCAAGTTTCCTCAAATCAATCAGTCCAAACTTACTTCCTGTACAGTGTTACTCCAGTTCATCCAATAATACAAATTGATCAAGGGCTTTCTTGTACTTAGACTAATACCCATAATCGATTCAATAGAAAAGTGTTCTCTCCTGGTTAAGGTATCTTGGCATAGCATCTTATCACTTTTTTAAGTGGGGTGGAGTGGGGTGGGCTAGCCCACACCTTTCCTCTTACTAAGTCTACCTTTATGACATACAGTGCTACCACACCACCACCCCCTTTTATCCATCCTCTTTTTTTTGAATACGGTATACCTTTCTTTTTCTCTTTTTTGGTGGTCTAATATCATTTTATTTAAGTTTTAAGGCTATCACTACTTTCACAAGATTTTGAGTTCCAAATTTTCATGCCATCTTGCCCCTCCCCCCACCCCAAGATGGCATGCATTCTAAATACCCCTTCCCCTGGTCTGCCTTCCCTTCTGTCTCTCCCCCACTTGTCTTCTCCCCTTCCCCTTCAATTTTCCTGTAGGGCAGGATGGATTTCTGTACCCCATTTCCTGTATTTCTTATTTCCCAGTTGCATGTGAAAAGATTTTTTTTAAACATGTGTTTTTAAAACTTTGGGTTCCAAATTTTCTCCCTTCCTCCCTCCCCACCCACCCTCATTGAAAAGGCAAGCAACTAAATATAGGTTATATATGTGCAGTTATGCAGAACACTTCCATAGTAGACATGCTGTGAAAAACTAACTCTATTTCCCTTAATCCTATCCCACCCACCTATTTATTCTGTTCTTTCTTTTGACCCTGACCCTCCTCAGAAGTATTTGCTTGTGATTACTCCCTTTTCCAATCTGCCTTCCTCTCTATCATTCCCCTTCTGTCTTGTCCCCTTCCCCCCCTATTTTCCTGTAGGGTAAAACAGATTTCCACACCCAACTGAGTGTGTATGTTATTCCCTCCTTAAGTCAAATCCTATGAGAATAAGATTCACTCATTCCCTCTCACCTTCCCCCATTTCCCCTCCACTGTAAGAGCCTTTTCTTTTCTTTTCTGTTTTTTTTTTTGTGGGATAATTTACCCCGTTGTACCTCTCCCTTTCTCCTTCTCCTAGTATATTCCTCTCTCACCCTTTAATTTTATTCTCCAGATATGACCCCTTCATTTTCAACTCACCCTGTGCCCTCTATCTATCTATCTATATCTATATATACGTACATATAATTTTTCCCCCTCCAACTACCCTAATACTGACAAAGGTCTCATGAGTTACAAATATCATCTTTCCGTGCAGGAATGTAAACAGTTCAACCTTAATAAGTATCTTATGATTTTCTCTTTCCTGTTTACCTCTTCATGTTCCACTCAAGTCTTGTATTTGAAAATCAAATTTTCTATTCAACTCTGGTCTTTTCATCAAGAATGCTTGAAAGTCCTCTATTTCACTGAATGACTATTTTTTCCCCTGCAGGATTATACTCAGTTTTGCTGGGTAGGTGATTCTTGGTTGTAGTCCTATCTCCTTTGCTCTCCAGAATATTATATTCCATGCCCTGCGGTCCCTTAATGTAGAAGCTGCTAAATCTTGTGTTATCCTGATTGTGTTTCCACAATACTTGAATTATTTCTTTCTGGCTACTTGTAATATTTTTCTTCTTGACCTGGGAACTCTGGAATTTGGCTACAGTACTCCTAGGAGTTTTCCTTTGGGGTTCTCTTTCAGAAAGAGATTGGTGGATTCTTTCAATTTCTATTTTGCCCTCTGGTTCTAAAATATCAGTGCAGTTTTTCTTGATAATTTCTTGAAAGATGATGTCTAGGCTCTTTTTTTGATCATGGCTTTCAGATAGTCCAATAATTTTTAAATTCTCTCTCCTGGATCTATTTTCCAGGTCAGTTATTTTTCCAATGAGATATTTCACATTGTTTTCTAATTTTTCATTCTTTTGGATTTGTTTTACAGTATCTTGATTTCTCATAAAGTCACTGGCTTCCAATTGTTCTATTCTAATTTTTAAGGAAGTATTTTCTTCAGTAATCTTTTGGACTTCCTTTTCCATTTGTCCAATTTTGCTCTTTAGGGCATTCTTCTCCTCATTGGCTTTTTGGACCTCTTTTGCCATTTGGGTTAGGCTATTTTTTAAGGTGTTATTTTCTTCAGTATTTTTTTAGGTCTCCTTTAGCAAGCTGTTGACTTGTTTTTCATGATTTTCTTGCATCACTCTCAGTTTTTCCTCTACTTCTCTTGCTTCTCAAAATCCCTTTTGAGCTTTTCCAAGGCCTGGGACTGATTCATATTTTTCTTGGAGGGTTTGGATGTAGGAGCTTTGGCTTTGTTGTCTTCTTCTGGTTGTATGTTTTGATCTTCTTTGTCACCAAAGTAAGATAATATAGTCTGACTCTTTTTGTGCTGCTTACTCATGATCCCGGCCAATTACTTGAGTTTTAAACTCTTTGTTAAGGTAAAAGTCTGCTTCCAATGTCAAGAGTGTACTGTCTCAAGCTTCGGGGGTTTGTACAGCTGTTTTCAGAGGTATTTCTAGGGACCTGAAAATTTTCAGTTCTTCCAAGGTGGTATGATAAGGGGCGAAGTGTTTTCTCTCCACCACTGTAACAAGCTCCACCACGCTAGCATTCCTCCTCGCCCCAGGACCGCCCCTCAGAACTGCGCCCCAGATCCAAGCACCAGTAAAGCAAGAGATTCCTGCCTCAGCACTGGCAAAGGGATCCCTGCAGTCCCCCTCTGATCAGTCACTCGATTTCCCCTCAGTCTGGAAGCTCAGGAAAAAGCCGCGGCCCTGGGCCACGCTCGAGACTTGAGGCTGGGACCTAGCTCCTCTCTCACCGCAGTCACAGACTTTTCCCATTGACCTTCTAAGTTGTCTTTGGTAGTCGGGGGTTGAGAAGTCTGGAAACCGCCACAACTGCCTGCGATTCAGTCCTCTGAGGTCTGCTCCAGGGTTGCTGCGGCCTGCACGCCCACGCCGAGCTGTGCTTCTCTCCCCACCTGGCACGATATACCTTTCCGATCAACCATCCAGGCTGTCTTTGGCTGGAAATTTGTTTCACTTTGTCTTTTTGTGGGTTCTGCTGTTTAGAATTTGTTTAGAGCCATCTTTTATAGGTATTTGGAGGGCTTTGGGAGAGAGCTCAAGACAGTCACTGCTTTCCCTCCGCCATCTTGGCTCTGCCCTCCAAAATCTACCTTTCTTTTTTTTAAAAAAGAGAATACATTATTTATTTTTAACATTCATTTAAATTTTTTTTGAGTTCTAAATTCTCTCCCTCCCACTCCTTTCCTACCCAATGAGAAAGCAAGCAATGTGATATCAATTATACATGTGAAATCACACATAACATGTTCCTATATTAACCATAATGCAAAAAGAAAAGCAAAAAAAAGATAAAATGAAAAAATTATGCTTCAGTCAGCTTTCAGACTTCATTAGTTCTGCCTCTGGAGGCTGATAGCTTTTTTCATTATGAGTCCTTTGGAATTGTCTTGGATCATTGTATTGATCAGAATATCCAAGTCTTTCACAGTTGATTGATTTTGCTCACTTCACTTTGTATCGGTTCGTTTAAGTCTTCCTAGGTTTATCCGAACCCATCCCCCCAGTCATTTCTCATAGCATGATAGTATTCCATCACAGTCGTATAAGATATACCTTTCTAGAGCCAGATTCCAATCATGTTTCATCCTACTAAGCATTAATGGGAACTCTGAGATCAAATTTGCCTAGGACTTCTAGCTCCTCTTGTTTGTTGCCTAAACGCTGGACATTTCTGCATAGAGATTTGAAGCCCTGGATTTTATGACTCGCTGCTTTCTTTGATTTTGTCTTCTGTGAGCTTTGGCATTTCAGTATTTCAACTTCTTGTCTCTCTTAATTGTATCTGTTCTCAGTGATATTTAGCTTAATGAATTTGCATAGGAAGTATTTTCTTTCCTCTTTTTTTCAAGATTTTAAAAGGATATAGAGAGATGATATATTTGAAAATGCTTTTTAAGACTATAAAGCAGTAAATAAATATAAGCTATTTTTTATTGTTAGCATTCCCCCAGATAAAGGGGAAAAGGATGGGAAGGACAGTGTTCTCTGTGACATGATTCTCTACACATGATGTAAAGGGAATTCCTGCATTAAACATGGGGTTGAAAAAATGCCCTCCAAAGTTCCTTCCAACTCTGAATTTTTTCATGATTCTATGATTTGCATGTTTTTATCCTGCAATTTCCATTACTCCTATTTAGAATCCTCTTCCCACTCCTGTCTACAAACACATGTCCTATGCTTCCTTCAGAACTTTAATCACAGCTCACACTTTTCGCTGTATGTCTTCCCTTCTCAGTACCATCTGATTACTTCATTAAAACCCTCCATTCCTTCAATAACTTAAATATGTGATTTTTTACTAGGTTAGTTGAATTAGTTTATGTATCATATTTAAGGTTGTTGTTGCTATGTCATATACCTTCTTTTAACTCGAACTCTCAGAGGTCATAGGTTATGGCTTTTATTTCTTTTGTATCTCTTTCTAGTGCCTTGTGTCGTGCTGTGCATAGAATAAGCATTAAAGTAAATGTTACTGACTGAATGATCAGTCTCAGTTACATAAATTAATATTATTTTACTGACATCCTGACAATTTGTTGCATGATCTGTGAAAGTTTTCAGGCTCAGTTTTGTATTTTTAAAAACTAAGTGATCATTTCCATCTCCTGCAGTTCAATGTTCACCTGGGCATTTCTACAATACTACAACTCACCGGTGTATTCGCTGCTCAGCAGGGACATACCAACCTGAATTTGGAAAAAATTACTGTGTTTCCTGTCCAGGAAATACCACCACTGACTTTGATGGCTCCACAAATGTAACTCAGTGTAAAAGTAAGTTTTTCCCTAATACTTTCCCCCTGCCAATCAAAAGGTTGCTTTCTCATGTTGTGGAGAGGGACAGGAGAGGGAAAGGGAAGAGAGGGAGAGAGGAAGGAGATGACTCCTTGACTTTGGTTCCTGTTTGACTCTTGACTCTCTGTGTGCCTTACTGGACACCCCTTATCCCAAAGTTACTGCCTGTCAGATTCTTTTGTTCTGGTTCTCAGTCATGGTCTCTGGATCTCCCTTTTGAATTTTGACTCTGCCACTAATGACTGTAACCACCACTACCACCCATGGACTTCCCCAATATGACTGAGCATTCCAAAAGATCCTGCTCTCAATTTGTCCACAGTTCCCCTGGAATTATAGGATAGTATGACTGGAGTGCCACACATATTTGGGCCCTTGTATTTAATAGTTGTGATGACTTTTTACAATCATATTTTTAGTGGGAGTAAAAGATGGTCCTAATGCTATAGAAAAATGTCAGAATAGCAATAATAATTATAATGATAGGCTACCCAAGATGATCGATTAGATCAAGTGTTCCCTATTTAGAAGAGTTTAGTCTGTAAATTCCTTTTATGGGATCACATAAAGTTCAGATTTCAAAACAGATAAGTAGTCGTAAGTAGCGGTCTCTAAGTATCTATTACCTTGTTTCACATAATCCATGAACTTTCCATATAATGGGGAAATTGAGTTTACTATGCTGTATAGTTGTTTGGTTCCGTTATCTATGTGGATAGATTTGATTTTTGGAAGATAACTCCAGAAATAAACAGCATCAATTCAGTGACTCATAAAACTATAAAAAATTGGTTTTATTCTATTTCTTGATATCAATGGAAGGACATTAAGAACTTATATGAAAAAAAAGCTATCTAAGCATGAAAAGAGCTTTGGGGGCAGCTAGGTGGCACAGTGGATAGAGCACTAGCCCTGAAGTCAGGAGGACCTGAGTTCAAATCCAGCCTAAGACCAAACACTTGACACTTACTAGCTGTGTGACCCTGGGCAAGTCACTTAACCCCAATTGCCTTAAAAAAAATTTAAAAAAAAAAGAGCCTTGGATGTGGTTCCAGGTATCATTATGGTAGCAGGCATGGAGATCACAGGATCTCAGAGCTAGAAGGGACCTGAAAATCCATCTTGTTCAATGAAAACCTGACTAAGAAAACCTACAACAGATAGCCCCAACAAGATGTCATCAAGTTCGAAACCTCTAATGGAAAATAAAGGGTTTCCATTCAAAGTGGCCTGTTTCACTTCTGGATAATTCTTATTGTTTAGAAATTTTTCCGTATATCAAAACCAATTGAGCTCCTCTGTAACTTTTATCCTCTTATTACGAGTTCTGATCTTTGGGGCTAAGAAGGATAACTCTAATGCCTCTTCCCCATGATGAAACTTTAAGTACTTGAAAGGTTCTATCACATCTTTTGAAAGCTTTTCTTCAGACTCACTATCCCTATTTTCTTCAACTGACCCTCAGAAAACTTTCCAGTCATCTAATAATTCTGGTCACCCTCTTTTGGAGACACATGGTCTTACCTATATGTTTAATAAAATGTAATGCCTGAAACTCTTCGACCTAATAATACCCACTACAAGGCATATACCCCCAAAATGTCAAAGACATAGGGAAACAATCTCTACGTCTTTGTACAAAAATACATATACCAAAATATTTAGAGAAACACTTTTTATTCTAGTGAAGACCTGGAAACAAAGTGGATTCCCATCATTTAGAGAATGTCTAAACAAATGATGGCATGTGAATATAATGTAATATTATTATGCTGTAAGAAATGACTCAAAGGAAAGATTCAGAGAAACATGGGAAGACTTATATGAACTGATGCAGAATGAAGTGATTGGAACCAGGAGTACAATTTATTTTATAAATTGTGATTATGATAATGTAAAGAAAAACAACTTGGAAAGAATTAAGAACTCCTGTCACTGCAATGACCAGTCATGACTCCAAAGACTGATGAGAAAGTATGCTTCCCACCCATTGGCATAGAGGTGATGGATTCGGGGTACAGAATGAGATACTTGACTAATGTGTGATTTTGTTTTGCTTGACTATACTTTTCACAGGGGAAAATTTTTATCTTGATTGGGGAGAGATTTCTGGGGACAGTGGGTAGATACTGATAGTGATAGTGATATAAGAAAAGAAAAAAAGTTCAAAGAAACATTTTAAAAATTATACAAGAGAACAGGAAGTTTAGAAAGAGATACAAACAGGGCAATTTTGTAACTTTAGTGTTAATTTAATATACACATTCTAAACTATATAATAGAAGTTTGCTTTCATGCGTAATCATCTTTTTCTGATCTTTTTTTTTGTGTGTTGAAATGTTCAAGTTTGTTGCTTAAGTTCATAACTGAAAAGAAAACATATGATACACAAAACACAACGTAGTAGTCCAGGTGTAGTCTAACCCAGAATGGAGTATAGCAAGCTGTTACCTTGTTCTGGACTCAGTGATTCTCTTAAAGGGACTTAGGATCCTATTAGCTTTTTTTGGGTGGCAGCTGTGTGCTGTTGGCTCATAATGAATTTGTAGTCTGCTGAAGATGTTTGTTACAGGAACTGTTGACCAGCCATGTCTTATATTCTTGAAATTGATTTATTTGAACCTTAGCAGAGAAGTTTATACTTAATTCTATTAAATTACGTCTTACTCGGTTCATCCCATCAATTGAGACATTCTGGATTTTTTTTTTTGCATTTGGATTATTCTGTCTCTCTAAGCTTCATGTCATCTACAGATTTGACAAGGATGTCATTTGTCCTTTCATCTAAGTCAGGGATAAAAATGTTCAGCCTCACAGGGTCAAGGACATAAACATAGTAATGTCTACGAGAGGCCACCTTCCAAGTTGATATTAATTTGTAACATAGCTACTCTTTGGGTCTAGATGTTCAGCTAGTTCCATATTCACTTAACTCTAGCCCCAAACTCGGCTCTCCATAAGCAAAGAATGAAAGGCTTTGTCAAATGCCTCATTAAAAACTACGTATAACATTGATTGGGAAATGACTAAACAAATTGTGGTACCTAAACATAACATAATGCAACATGATTACTGCAACATAAGAAATAACAAATACAAAAGCTTCAGAGAAGCATAAGAAGGCTCATCTGAACAGATGCAGAGTGAAATAAATTGAACTAGAAAAATTATATACAATGCCTACAGCAATGAAACTGAATGCTTTGTAATCATAATGACCATGCTTGGCCCAGGAAAGAGAACTGAGAAAAGGCATCCCACTCTCTTCATTGCAGAGATAAGATTCTTTTGGTATAGAATGTTGCATGCATTGTCAGAGAGTCAATATGTTGGTTGGTTTTGCCGAAGTGCTTTCCCCCTCCCTCTCTTTATATCTTTTTTTAATGTACATTTGACCTAGACTTTATTTTTTTGTTTCGTTTTTTTTTTTGTTTGTTTGTTTTGGCTAGGCAATGGGGTTAAGTGACTTGCCCAGGATCACACAGTTAGTGAGTATCATGTGTCTGAGGCTGGATTTGAACTCAAGTCCTCCTGAATCCAGGACTGGTGCTCTGTCCACTGCACCATCCAGCTGTCCTCTTTATATCTTTAAGAGAAGGTTTGCTGGGTTGAGTAGGTTTGGAAACATTTGGAAATGAATGTGTTATAAAAACAGTCATCAGTAATTTAAAAAAAAAACAAATATATTTTCACTACATTTCCCTTATCTACCAGTCAGTGATAAGTGTTCATAAACCATCCCCATAATAACATGCCAAGATTCTTGACCAATAACTAAAGTCAAACTCTGGTCTGTGGGTTGTAGACTTATTCTTTCCTTTTTTGAAAATTGTGACGTTTGACTTTCTCCAGTCCTGTGGCACTTCTCCTGAAGAAGAGCATTACTTCTCCCATATTTTTACAAGATCACTGATAGCAACTCGACAATCACGCCTGCCATTGCTTTGAACTCCTGGAGGGCAGGCAGAGACTGATCTTTCTTCAGTGATCTTGCGCACAATCTGCCCACCATTTTTTATTAGATATTCCTTTCCAGCTAAAACTTGTTTTCCTTTAACAGACAGACATTGTGGAGGGGAGCTAGGAGAGTTCACTGGGTATATTGAGTCTCCAAACTACCCTGGGAATTATCCAGCCAATACCGAGTGTACCTGGACCATCAATCCTCCTCCCAAGCGCCGCATTTTGATCGTGGTTCCTGAGATATTTCTGCCTATAGAAGATGAATGTGGAGACTACCTGGTGATGCGGAAAACCTGTAAGCCTCAGCCTCTTGTGTTCCCCTTCCCTTCCCAAGCCATACAGGAAGGCTCACTTTGTGGAAGCCTGGTATGATCCCTGGGAACTCCACTTTGTCTTTGTCTAGCAGGCTGGAGAATTTTACCTTCTGTCTTGGGACACCTTTGGGTCATGAGATGTGTAGAGCACTCTCCTAAAAAATCCTCACCTGTAGAGGCACTTAGATATCCGCAACAGCTTTTGTTATACTGGACGTTAGAGCACATCCTCCTAATACGTGATGATTCAGGCAGCCAGTCAACAAGCATTTTTTAAGCTCTGCCCCAACCCACTATGAGGACATAAAGAAAGGCAAAAACAGTTCCTGCCCTCAAGGAACTCACCTTCTAATGAGGGAGACAACATGTAAATAACTAGGTGCCTTCAAGATGTACACAGAGGAGATGGAAAGTGATCTCACTGGGTGAGACCGTTGTTTGTTGTTCAGTTGTTTTTAGTCATGTCTGACTCTGTGACCCCATTTTGGGGTTTTCTTAGCAAAGATATTGTAGTGTTTTGCCATTTCCTTCTCCATCTCGTTATACAGATGAGGAAACTGAGGCAAATAGGGTGTTAAGGGACTTACTCAGGGTCACACAGGTAGTAAGTGTCTGAGCTGGATTTGAACTTAGGTCTTCCTGGCGTAGTGCTCTATCCACTGCACCACCTAGCTGCCGCCAGAGGTAATAGGTAGCTGTTGGAGCTCATTAAGCAGAGGTATTTCATGGGCAGACAAGTACTTTAGAAAAGTCGCTTTGGCAGCTTAGTGAAGGATGGATTGGGGTGGGGAGAGACTTGAGGCAAAGAGCCCAATCAGAAGAGGTGATGAGGGCAGCTCTCTCACTTTGATACAGAGAACACGAGGCTGAAAGATAGGTAGATTGATAGACAGAGAGACAGAAAAATGGGTGGATGGATGTCCCCTGACACCAGCATCATAATGGAGTCCTTAGTGATGTAGCAATTTTTCCCACAGATCAGAGATGTTGAGAGAGACCTTATCGGGATGGGGACTTGGGGCTGTGTCCAAGAGGCAATGGTAACAAGCCATAAATACTGACCTAAGCATTTGTGTCTGTACATAGATTATGACTAATAGAAAATTCACTCTTGGAGAGCTTGAGACTGCCCCCTTCAAGAGTACATAAAAGGTGATGTGGCTGCTGCTTAAATGTTCAGCCTCCAATCCTTTTGTTTTCAACCTCTGGTAAGAGAGGGATTTCTAGCTTTATTTTCAGAGCTGCCTACAGGTGTGATGATTCAATTGGGCATGAAGATTTCCTCAACTTAATGAGTTTTCCTTGTTTCATGAGTTTTTGAAAAGTCAAATGTATTTGTTGTCTGCTCAATAAAGAGATTTTGATCTCTAGCATACATTTCCTTTGGCAGCCTCCTCCAACTCTGTGACAACCTATGAAACCTGCCAAACATATGAACGTCCGATAGCCTTCACCTCCAGATCAAAGAAGTTGTGGATTCAGTTTAAATCTAATGAAGGGAACAGTGCCAAAGGCTTCCAGGTCCCTTATGTAACGTATGACGGTAAGGGGTTCAAATCTGGTTCTCTTTTGACTTCACTGCTCAATAGGAATTGTTTTCACAGAAGTAATTTCTGAGGCAGCTAAAGACCTGCTGAGCACACGTGTTTCAGAAAAGCAGCAAGGAAAAGGGGAATGTTGTAAAGAAACAGGTGCAGAACTTCTATTTGAGGACTCTGAGTGTGGGAATGGAGAGAGGTTTTAGATGGTAAATTCAGTAAAAATTTAACTCTCTGGAACCCCCAATAAATATGTTGGATAGCTGAGTTTTCCCTGAAGCTGAGCATTTACCCCTTTAATCTAGTCACCTATTCTTAGGATTAGAAAAAAAAATCTTGGAAACTATTTAGGTTAAGTACCAAATCTTTTTTTTTTTCATTTAAACCATTATGGATAGAAACTATTCCACAATGTTTTACGTTCTTCTATGCTTTCTTAAACAGAACATAAAGAACATAATAACCTTTTCTTGATTACTCAAGGTTATCATTTGTCAATATGAATTGTTGTCTTCTGTAATATTACAATGATGGCCTTTGGGTCAGTTGTGAAATATGTTGGAGGTTTTGCCCCACGCAAAATTACTTCATATTATTATTATTATTTTAAAGCTCCTTTGCCTGCTTTTTAAAAAATTTTTGGTGTATTTGCTGGTGATGTTGGTGTGATGGAAATAAAATCTATGGACTGCAACACATTTAGGACTGCAACATAGACTGTTAGAGCGAGAAGGGACTTTATGGATGATTTGACCCAATATCTCCCTTTATAGTGAGGCCCAGCGGGGAAGTGATGTGTTAGAATTCAGAATGAGTACATGGCCAGGGTTGGGACTGGCGGTTCCCCTCGTTCCCAGGTTAGTCAATAAGCTCTTTATAAGTGCTTATTATGTTGTACTCTGGCATGCCACTTCTGAAAGATCGTACTTCCCAAAGCCTATTGGTGATGGGATACATCATTCTGAGAAGAGGCAGAGTACTTGTATTAAAGTTACTTAATAGTAAAGAATACTCATTTTGAAACTGCTAAGCCACAAGAGAAGCAAAAATAGTATCATTTGTTTCCAACAGAGGATTACCAGGAGCTCATTGAAGACATAGTCCGAGATGGCAGGTTATATGCATCTGAAAATCATCAGGAAATACTTAAGGTTAGTGTTCTGGATTAAATCTTTTCGTGATGAACACAACTAGGTGATTTACAAAGCTACAGAACTTTTAAGATGGAAAGGACCTTAGAGGCCATCTCATCCAAACCCAAGAATTTTTAAGATGGAAAGGACCTTAGAGGCCATCTCATCCAAACCCAAAAGCCCACAAGAATTCTTTCACCATACCCAACAGGTTCCGTCCAGCGTCAGGTCAAAGACTTCCAGTGGAGATCAGGGAGGTGGGAAGAACTTCTTTACCTCCCAAAGGTTGTCAAGTCTCTTTCAGGTGATTCTAATTGTTGGAAAGTTTTCCCTGATGCCAAGCCTAAATTGACCTCTTTGCAACTTCTGCAGGTTGATCCTGGTTCTGCCTTCTGGCCGAGTAGAACATCAATCTAAGCTTCTTCCATATGGCATCCCTTCAAATATTTGAAAATCAGCTCTCAGGTCCTCCCTTAAATCCTCTTCCTCTCACTGAATATCCCTGGTTCCTCCGCAGTATTCTCCTTGAATTCAGCTTGATCTGGAGGTCCTTCACTATCTTGACTGGCCTTCTCTGGATGCTCCCGAGCTTGTCAATGTCCTTTCTAAATGCAGTGCCCAGAGCTGAACAGAACTCTTCCTACGTGGTTTGACCAAGCACTAGTACAGGCTGATTATTACATCCTGGCCCTAGACATTATGATTCTCTTTAACTTAAAATTATATTAGCTTTTTAATCTTCCTATTACACTGCTGACTTATGTTGATCTTATAGTTCACTAAAATCCCTAGATGTATTTGTATGAACTGCTGTCTAGTGAAACCTCTCCCATCTTGTACTGATGGATATGATTTTTTGAACCCAGGTAAGATTTTACATTAATTCCTAAATAAATTTAATTTGAACAGATTTCGTTAAAATCTTTTAAAATCCTGATTCTTTCATCTGAGTAGGAGCTATCATTTCTTATTTTGTGTCATCTGCAAATGAGATAGAGATGTCATCTGTGGCTTTATCCAAGTTGTTGATAAAATATTAAAATCTAGGACCATCTACAGATCCCTGGGGCAGTCCTCTGGAACCTGCTTCCAAGCTGACATCAAACCAAGTGATTGTTCTTTGAGTCTAACCATTTAACCAGTTCCAATTCTGTTTGACCACTTTATTGTCTTATCCACATCTCTCCATTTTTTCCACAAGCATAACATAAGAAATTATCAAGTGCTTTGCCAAAATCTCAGTAAACTATACCTACAGCTTTCTACTGTTCTGCCAGTTGAGTAAGCCTGTCACAAAAGGGAAATGATATGTCTGTCATGAACTATTCTTGATGAAGCCGTACTGGCTCTTTTTGATCACCAATGCTTTTTCTAGGTGTTCACTAACCACTCCTTTAATAATATGTGGTATAAATTTGCTAGGGTCTGAAGTCAAGCTCCCTAGCTTATAGGTGCTACCATCTTCCTTTTTATGAAAATCAGGACATTTGCCCTTCTTTAGTCCTATAGTAACTCTCCCATTCTTTACAGTAATTCAGAAATCACTTATAATGTCCAGCCTGGATTCAGTCCTTTTGGGGAGCTTGACCTCTAATGAGAGGGGTCAAATTCCTTTCTTTATGCTCTGTGGCTAATTAAACCTCCTTCTAGCACCTCAGAAAAAATATGTAAAGTTCAGATTTTGGCCCATGTCTAGGGTCTCCTTAAAGAGGAGAGTAGAAGACTACTCAATTTACAGTGTAAATCAAGTATGAGGCATTTATTTACTGCACATGAAGGGAATATTTAATGCAAAAGGATCTCACATGCATGAATTAACTTAAAATACTTAAAACAGGATACAGCAACATAATTATTGGAACATGAAACAATTTGCAAGACTACTGAATAGAGATTGTTTCATCTCGCCTCACTTTTTGCTATCCAAACAACTCCAGTCCGCATCTTCTGACAAGCCAGGCCAGGTCTTGGGCTTATTCTATTGTCAGTGGGCATCTTCTCTGATGCAGAAACTCCCCTTCTTACCCATCAACTCCAGTGATGGACCCAGGCTCTCCAACTTCTCAAACCCATGAGATTGCTGTCAAGATTGAACTTGACCATGTCCCTCTCAAAATCATTGTTTGGTCACCTGTGGTCAGGCTAAGAAACAGGGCAGAGGAGGCAGCCAGATGCTCAGGCTCTAGTTCTTTCTCCTTGCCCTCTTTGCCAAGGTGGAAGTGGGAGTGGGGGGATGGGGTAGGCCTGGGAGAAGGGGTACCAACTCCCATCTGTACCCCTCCAGTGAGAACCTGGGAGGGTAGTCACACCACAGCAGCTAAGAGAGATAGCTGAGTGTGGGTCACTCTCTCTTAAAGGTCCACTGAGTCATTGGCCTTTACTGCTCGGTGGCTAGGAAGGGAATTGTTTCCTCATCTCCGAAGCACTCTTTAGTGTGAAAGGCTTTGAATCACCCCCAAAGCACCCAGTCACCGAGAGAGAAGAATCGGGAAGGACAGTTTCACACATGCCCTGATAAATGAATCTGGCTTTTAAAAATGCCTTTTAGGGGGCAGCTAGGTGTCTCAGTGAATAGAGCTCTGGCCGTAGAGTCAGGAGGACCTGAGTTCAAATGTGACCTCAGACACATGACACTTACTAGCTGTGTGACTCTGGGCAAGTCACTTGACCCCAATTGCCTCTCCAAAAAGAAAAGGCCCTCCGAAAAAATGCCTTCTTCTTGGCCTTTGCTTCATTCCTTCTGAGCTTTAAGGCTCCCAGAACTGACCTTGTAGTGTATCACTACATCTTTGTGATTGTCTTCCATTTACTTGCCTTTGTTTTCTTTTCTGTAAACATTTTTACAGAGAACTTACCTTTTTCCTTTTAATTTGAATTGTTTTTCTTTGTCTTCAAAAGTTCCTTCTTGAGAACATCCTTTCCTTCCTGGGTTGACTTCCTCTGTAAAATTTTAATTAGAATATCATGGATTGTCCTTTTTCTGAACCCATATGAAATCTACTCTCCCCAGTTGCAAGGAACATATCAGATGCTGCTTCCCTGTGCTTCTCCTATCACAAATTCTGTGATTTGGTGGCTGTGGTCCTTTTCCCCCAAAGATTCCCATCATTTTCACCTCCACAGCTAGTTTTTCCTCATTGATGAGTTCAGGTTCCACAGTAGAATTTCCCCTTGTTGTTTCCTACCTTTGTCGAAGTATGAATTCATAGTTAAGGAATGTCAAGGAATTATTAATTCTGTTTCTGATGGAGTGAAAGATCCCAAAGATGTCCAGATCATTGAAATCCCTCAGAACACCTATATCATGCCTCTCTGCCACCTTTGTGATGTCTTTCCCAATCCCTTGTCTATTTCCTCTTGCTGTCCAGTGTGGTCTGCAGTATATTCCAATGACCACAGCAAACCTGTTGATCTTCACTCAAATGGTCTCTCCCGTGCTCTCTCTAAGTCCTGAATTTTTTTACTTGACTATCTTATTAATATATAATACTCCTCTACCACCACTTTTACCTATCTTGTTCCTTTTTAAAGTCTTTAAAATTTTGTTTTAATAGAATGTTGCTGTTTTTATAGTAATAATAATTGATATTTATATCATATTTTGAGGTTTACAAAATGCTTTATATTGCTTCATTTAATCTTTAGAAGAACCCTTTGAGGTAGGTGGTATTATTATCTCCTTTTTACAGATGAGGAAACTGAGGCTGACATAGGTTTGAATGACTTGCCCAGAGTAGCATAGCTAGTAAGTGTCTTAGGTGGGATATTAACTCAGATATGCTTGACTCCAGGTTCAACACTATCCACTATGCCATGTTGCCTTTCTCTTTGTTGTACATCACTGTTATTCCCACTCACTCTTCCTTCCTCTTGCCCCCATAGAACCCTCCTTTGTAACAAAAAGGTACAGTTTTGCCTTATTCCAAACTTAGAGTACACTTTTTCTCCATTGAAAGAAGGAAAACACGCCTCTGAAGTCAGGATTGGTCATGCCTACATTGATCAGCATTCCAATGTCTTTTATCCTATTCTTTTCAATAAGATACTTCCCTTCTAGTGCCATATGCCAGGCATAGGTCATATCCCACCAAGTCAGTGGTGGCTTTGAGGGCAAATTTGCTTTCTTGCATTAAAATCTCTAGTTTACTTTGCTTGTTACTCATATTTTGTGCATTTGTGAGAAGACGTCTGAGGACATGAATTTTGCTACTGGCTCCTTTCCTGGATTTTGTCTCCTATGAATTTCTGAGTAGCTTTACTATTATTTTCCTAACTGTTTTGTTGCTGTTCTCTGAGGTATCTAGTCCCATGGATGCACATAAGCTTTTTCTCTTTCCTCCTTCCTTTTTAAGTATTTTTGACCAAATTGGCAAAATTTCGGTAAATGCACTCATTCTAATTCTTTTTACATGTACTCCATCCCTGGTCAGGGCCCAGCATTGCTATGTTTTAATCTGTCCTTGAATTCCATTTTAAAACACACAGTCATAGTAAGAGCTATTGACTTCCCAAATCTTCCTTCCTTTCATGAAGCCTGACATCAGTGATAGCTCAATGAAAACATTACTTGTTCTTCTTAGACCTTCTCTTTCTTTCTTAAGTATGATTGTTAGCAATCTTTCTCCGTTCCTTCTAGCAGTATTATTTGTGCCTGTGGGAATCACCAGAAGTGGCCATCTGGTGTGACAAGTGTGAGGTGTTCTCTGTCATGTCCCTACTGTACACCCCAGAAAGATAGCAGATGTCACTCTTATTCTTATCAGGTCAACAAATAACCACCTTCCTCCTTATCCCTTGACAGGTTGTCACTAGCCAATAACACTGGACTCCTTTTCCTCTGGCCCTTACTAAATGATTCCTCACCTTACGACATCTCTGAATTCTCATCATTATTCCTTGGAGGAGAAGCAGCTGCTTTTGGAGGATTTAGTTCAACCTTCTTTGTATAGTATTTGTCATGTTTTTGTAAGCTTTCAGTGATCTTTCTTGTCTGTCACAACCTGCTTACCATTCCAAAGCAACAAGTAGCTGTGTCATTTTAACATGAAATGTTTGGGAACCCTTGACTTCTTCACATACTTTTCATAAAGCTTTGGACATTGGAAGCATTTCCCAGTAAACAACAATAATCATTCTCTAATAGTATTGCTCCACTGTCTTATCATGGTATGGAGGTGACATTCTAGGTTTTCAAAGACTATGGCCACGAATCCAAGGTCTGATGGGTCTGACCAGCCCACACAGACTTTTGGGAAGGGGCCAGGTAACAGTCTGTACAGCTCTCATCCCAAAACCAGTCTCACTATGGAGATTAGCCACCAGTGATGAATTCTTTCAGCCCTTGCAATACATGAGGATTATATATTGAAGCGTAGCAGAATCAGGATCAACAATGGTGGAGGGAGGGACCACACCGATGAAATCTTAGATATTTAAGTATTGAAATCTAATAATAGTTTGCTTTTTATACCTTTAACAAAATCCTTTCCTCATAACAAGGTAAGCAGTGTTCTTATCTCCATTTACATGTAAAACTGAGGCTCGTGGGTTTAAATGACTTGTTTAGGGTTACGTATGTAGTATATGTCAGAGTTAAGACTGAAGCCCAGGTCTTAACTTAGAACTCTTAGTATTCTCCTCACTGTATCACATTGTCTTTTCCACCACAGCAAACCCAGAAACATTCAGAAAGCCCAATCTTGGCAGTTATCTGGATAAAAACTGATTTTTACACTGTATCTAGAAAAAAAATATAAGAAAGAAACTAGATTGGAGAGATACCATGTCAATGAAGTGATTACAGAGTCCATTGACCGAAATTTTGTTCTTTTTAGGATAAGAAATTAATCAAGGCTCTATTTGATGTCCTGGCACATCCGCAAAATTACTTCAAGTATACAGCGCAGGAGTCCAGAGAGATGTTTCCAAGATCATTCATCCGATTACTACGATCCAAAGTGTCCAGGTTTTTGAGGCCTTACAAATGACTCTTTGCTCATCTCACCAGCTACAAATGCTCAGGCATGCCCCAGCCCGTGGGGTTTTCAAGGACAGAGCTGTGTCTGCCATTTGCATGCCAATGGAGGGACAGGCATGGTACCCAGTATTAATGACTCTTTAGAGTTTAATTTTTATAGATAATACAAATATTTTGATAAGCTGAATTGTATTTTTTCTTCCAAGAGATCTTGTATACAGTTGTGTCCGGTCATCGGGGTGCTGTATCAGACAATGCTATCAGGTTTAGGGAAGGAGAGACCTTCAGAGGGAGCCATGTCTGTTACCACCAGAGCTTCCTCATTTCTGCAAGTCATGGCGTGGGATAGGAAGGACTGAGGAGTAGTCTGCCTGAGCTATGTTTCAGTCCCTTCACTGCCTAGAGCTAGTCTGCCATTCACACTTCCCATTCCCCATACTTAGAAACTGCTGACGGGACCTCCCAATGACGCCAGTGGCAAGTGGACCTTTGAGGTGAATTTCCTTGTCTGAACCTGGTCTGGCTCTGTTCGGGCAGCTCAGCCATGTCGTGTTATCCTTACTGAGGATATGGAGACAGATCCTACCCATTCAGAGTTAGAAGCAAGCACTGGATTTCAGGCAACAATTTTCCAAGAGAACTGGAAGGGCCGTGTTTGGGCCAATGAGTTCCAAGTTATGTCACCCAGGCACTAAAGTTCTGAAAGAATGTAATAAAGAATGTTTGGAGTGGAGAGAATTAAAATAAAATGATGAAAAAAATTTCTATACAAATGTAATAATGATTGCTTTCTGATATTGTTACCTGTATAGCACATTGGTGAGGGGGATGGCGTCATCGTATCTTGTGCCATTTCTATTTATATTCCAAAAACCAGCCCATTGGTCATCCCACTGAATTTTCAACCTCCTGGTTGGCCATTTGTGGCCCCATGGAATCCCAGTCTCTAAATCAGAGGATTCCTCTCTTGTCCATCATCTTTCTAACTCAACATTTTTTTTTCCAAATGATAAACTGCCCCTAATACATTTGCCACCTCTTACTCCTACATCCCCCACATAGGGACGTTCTCTATAGCATTCTTTCCTTTATGCATTGGGTGATCACACGATTCTGACTTTGCTTTTTGTTTTGAATCAACTTTCTAATGTGTCCATCATCACAGCGCACTGTGGAATTAAGTTTTTTGTAATGGAAAGAGCAGTGGATCTGGAAGAGCTAGATTAAAGTTCATACTCTGGCGTTTACTAGCTGTATGACTTCAAAAAAGTCTTTACCTCTCTTTGCCCTAGTCCCACCATTTGTAAAATTGGGATGATGAGACTTGCATTCCTCATAGTGCTGTCACGATGAAAATGCTTTATGCATCTTAAATGTGCACCATTATCATCTCAGCCAACATTGCGTGGATAGGTCTGGAACTGTTCCAGGCTGTTCTGCATTGTCATCATACACTAAATGGCCCTGGGAAAATTCTAGTGAGTTATATAATCAGCTAGGTACAGATCCAATCTTAATCAGGGCTGTTCGAACCAAGAGCAGCTTAAGCTACCACATGGTGCCTACTGGAACTAGTAGGAGGACCCGTATGCTTAGAGAAAATTTGATCCATGGAACAGTCTGTGAAAGCTTTGTGGCCTCAAATGTTCTCCGATTGATCTGTGGTCTCAGTGAGAACTTTATCCATGCATGCATCTTTTTCATACCTTCTAATCTTGTGTATTTCTCGTAAGTTCTTTCCATAAGTTCCCCTGAGAGAATTCTCCCAGTATCCTGAAGACCTTCCTCTGGCTCTTTAATATTTTATAAATACCAGTTCAACACTCGGGGTATCTGTTATCCTCCACCTTCACTCCACGTCAAGCCCACTTGTCTCAGTGTTCTGAATGATGTCCGGTCATTATAATGTGCTGACTAACACCTATGTCCATCAAGATTCTATTGCCCTTTGGGTCGCCTGCAAGTTTGATTTTTCTGAGATGATGGTAATCCGTGATTTGTTGGCCATACATGATTAGAGGAATATCAACATAAGAGAGGAGGGGAGGAGGAGTGATGGGGGAGAGGGGGAGGCAGGGAGAGGAAGAGAGGAGATGGCCTTTTCCAGTAAAACACAGTTAGGGATTACTTAAACCACTGTTTGATTTCCCCAATGTTATCTGGCCTGACTACCTCCTAATCTGATTCTGGATCCAACTTACTGTCCATCGACAGTGTCTTTCCAATATACATGTACTGTTGAAACACTGGGAGATATGAATGAATGGGGAAAAAGCATTTGCTCGGTGCTTCCAAAGCACTCTGCTAAGCAACAAGGCTACGAATAGGCTATTCACATTCTAAACTGAGAATACCGCTCATATAGGAGGGATCAGCTCTACAAGTAAGTGGTTGTTAGGGCACTGTGGAAGGCAGATGGTAATGTGCCTCCTTTAATGTCATTTCCATTGCTAAAACTATGTAAGTTGCCTATGTTGAACCATTTGAGACGTTAGGGACTTAGGTGGTGAGAACTTTCTTTTCCTGGTCCTCAGTACTGTGGCTCCAAATGAAGCAGAGGGTGCAGCACCTGCAAAGACAGTTGCTTGGTGTCATTTAGGTAAAGGATGCTTCCCTGGATGGTGGATGAGGGAGCCAGGCTAGGAGCAGTTCCATTGGTCTCAGGGGCCTCACTCTTTCTGGGACTCTTGGGTTTACTTGTCGCAAACAAATCAAATGAGGTAAAATGAGATCATATTTATATAAGTGCTAAACACAGTGCTGGAACATAGTAGACACTTTATAAATGTTCTTTGCCTTCCCTTCCTCTTCTCTCCTCCCATCTTTGGCAGTTGTCAGCAACTGGCTGTGTTAGTGGCAGGGGGTGGCAGGTTGGGGATTGCTCTCCTGGAATATGACTAGAAGTCTGGATTCTGAGCAGAGGTGGAAGTCTGGTGCCAACGGTGTTCCCAGAGCTCTTGGGCTGAAAGTCCAAAAGATGGTTTGGTCTTCCTGGCACATGCTGCTTCCTATCTCTCTTCCTCAGGATGACTTTCTACTGCAGTTAGACTGGTTTGTCTGTTCTAGCACATATATAAATGGAAAAAGAATTCTATAGGTCTTACCTGGAAAAGGAGGCTGGGGAGTCTGCCATGCAAACCAAGCCATAGAATTGACTGACAGGATGGAAAGGAGGTGGGAGTTTCTATAGAAAGTCCTATAATTGGCATATGGGAATTGACATTCTGCAAATAGACTAGGTTCAATTTAACCCCAGCAGTGAGCTCCTGGTGGCTTAGTTAATTATAGTTTTTTTAATTAGTATCACTTAATGGTGGAGTACTTTCTTTAAAGCCTCCATGCTTTGACTGGTGAATGTACATATTGTTAAATATCCTTTCCCAGACAGTCAATGTATTTAGCCAACAGTGGGTTATGTCCAGTAGCCCATTAGTGCCACCGTACAGCTACCAAATTAGTCTGAAAAATTAAATGTTCCATCGATGCTCAGTGGCCAGCAGCAGTTCACTTTCCAACGAACACAGTGGGACTGAAGTATATTTAGAAAGTGAAACTAGTCTGATTCACAATTTTTGTTGTGTTAATTGGAGGAAAAAAAAGAAGAAAGGCCAAATGTTCCCATTCTCCCCCTTCCACCCCCAAACCCCCATAATAGAGACATTCAGTAGAAGCTATTGGCTTTGACATCTTTTCAGTGTTTTTGATATGGGAAATGAAGCTTTGGACAGTAATAATTACCATTTTTATTAAATATAATTTCTTCATTAAGTAGTAGAATTTGGAATCAGAAGGTGCTTTAGAGGTCATGTAGTCCAACCTCCTCTTACAGATGAGGCCAGTGAAACCCAGGAAATTGCTGAGGGTAGGGGTGGGGAACCTGCAGCCTGGAGGCCACGTGTGGCCTCCTAGGTCCTTGGATGCTGCCTTTTGACTGAGTCTAAGTTTTACAGAACATATCTTTTTATTAAGGCTGTACCCAGTAAACACATAGTGTGCTTACTATCCATAAACAATGTTTCTCAAATAAATTTAGCCACAGAAAGTCTTTGACTTTGATATAGATTGACAGAATCAACAAATCTTGGTCAGGAGAACTGGAGGCATAAAATAAGCCCAAGTCAAATAATGTGTCAGATTTGTGGATGAGAATCAAGAGAATAAAGTCTATTTTCATGCCAAAAAAAGTCACATAATTAAAGTATTTTTTGATCTTTAATGTTGTTTGGTGGAAACTGTCCTTGACATCAGAATTCTCTTGTAGAATCTACATATATTCCAACATGGAACACAGTTTGGGAAACTTTGACATTTGTTTCCCAATTGCCAACCAGACATAGCTGTCAAAAACTGAAGCCAGCCTCAGTATAGGCTCCACCTAGTGGTTATTGATAAAAAATTACAAAATTTTAGTTTGCAAGCAATTTTAGCAATCATCTAGTCCAACGAATACTCAAAACATACTTTATAAGTAGTTAATCCAGCCTATGCTTCCAGACCTCCAATAAGGAGGGACCGACCACCTTTTGGGGCAGCTCATTCTACTTTGAGATAGCTCTAATGTTAGGAAGTCTTCCCTCATATCAAACTCAATTTTGGCTCTACAACTTCCAGCCATTATTCCTGCTTCAAGATATACTAATATATAGCATCCAAGTGATACTTTCATGAGACCTCTGACTCTTATCTTCTCCAAACTACACAAGCCCAGTTTTTTCAGGCAATCTTCATAGGACATGGACGCAAAGTCCTTCACCATTGAAGGAGTGATTGCCCTCCTCTGGGTACTTTCCAATCGTATTCCAATATCCTGAATATTTGGCACCTAGAACCCCACGCAGTACTCTAGATGTAGGCTGATGACAGTGGAGCACAATGGGATCCTCACCTTCCTGGAAGCCATGCTTCTTTTCATGTACTCTATGATTGCATTAGCCTTTTTTGGCTGCTGTGTCAAACTGACAATTTATGTTGAGCTCCTAGTCCACTAGCAGTTGCCAAGTTTCACTTCTTCCCATCTTGTACATATGAAGATGATTTTTTGAGCCCAAGTGTAAGAGTTAACATTTTTGCATATTAAATTTCATGTTATGAAATTCAGCCTAAGACCTTTTTTGGGGGGTCCTATCTGTCGTCCCAGTTGGTGGTGATCCCACCCAGCTTAACGTCTATGAATTATCTTCCTTTATCCAAGTCATTGATAAAATGTTGAACAGTGTAGAAGCAGGAATGGATCTCTGAAGCACTACACTAGAGACATCTGTCCTCATTGACATCAATAGCTGGTCTTTGGGTTTGGCCATTTAGCCAACTCTGAATCCTCCTAACTGTATTAACATCAGTCCATATCTCTCAGTCTTCCCCAACATCTCTCCATATCTCCAACGAGATAACATGAACAATTTTGTCAAATGATTTTCCAAAACTAGGCAAACTATCTGTAGAAGTAGCCTCATCTACCAAGGATACCATCAACCTCCCAATCACTCAGGCTCACAACCTAGATGTTATTGCTTGCCCATATCTAATCTGTTGCCAAGACCTGTCAATTTTACCTTCTCTCCTCTAACACTTCCCCTACCCTGGTGTAGACCCTCATCTTGAACTATTGCTACAGCCTGCTAGTTGGTGTCTCTAATACAAGTATCCCCACACTCCAATCTATCCTCTACTCAGCTGCCAAAGCGATCTCCCTAAAACACAGGTCTGACCACATCACCCCCCTATTCAATAAATTCCAGTGACTCCATATCACCTCCAGGACAAAATATAAAATCCTCT